TTGGACACTGTTACTTTAGTTCTTTGCCCTATGTAATATTTTGTTTTCTATCCAAAAGAAACTTCCACCGAAATTCTTTTGAAGATCAATTTTCATCTTCTTGGGAATTAAATTTTCATGTCCTCATAGTTAAATTAGTATAAAGTTTTTAAATAAATTCCACAAATAATTTATTTTTTCTAAACACAGCCTGATTATATTTAGTTTAATCTTCACATCTAGCATTTTTTAGAAGAAGAATATATTGCACTGAAAAAAAAGGAATACAATCTAACGGAGGATATGGTATCCTCCATAAAGATTAAAAAAAACAAACATACAAGAAAACAATGTATTCAAATGGATCAATATAAGATCGCAACCCCATTCCCACTGTATTGTAGAAGGAAAAATGCTTAATGAAAATGTGACTTTAGCCCAGAAAGAAGAGAAGCATACTATCCTATCCCAAAGATTACTAATAAGAAAAAAAAAAACATTATTTGAAATTCTGAAATTTCTTGCCAAGCAAAGGCAATATTATTAAGGGCAAGAAAAAGAAATATTATTTAAGGGTACACCCAGCCCATTGTGATGTTTTCTAGAGGATGCTCTCTAGAAAGCATCAGTTCCTCGTTTATCTTCCCAAAACCACAAAGTAGAAATGAAGATTGCGAGGTTTGGAGGGCACACCGAGCCCTCCCTGAAGGTGGAAAAGTTTCCACATTTCTATTTTATTCTAATTCCAATTTCATGGAATTGGCATATTAGATGAGACAGCCAACAATTCTAGCAATTTTATGTCCTATTCATAAATAAGATTTGCAACATATGATCTTCTGTTTGTACCTGTTTGCATGTGCATGTGTGTGCTTATATGGACTAACTGTGGCAGACAGAGAGGAAGAGGACCTTGAGAGCATTTTCACTTAGCAGTGTTCCTTCATGTTTCTCCTTCAAATCATCCAAAGCAAGCTTAATTGCTCTCTTCATTAGATTCTGGTCAGATTGAATTTTATGTCCTCCTGGTATCATTAACTTGCAACAAGTCAAGGAGTACTTGTATGTAGCACACAACATTTGTAGCCTTCTCAAAACAAGAGTAAAACACATCTTATGATAATGGTCCCGTATTAATAGAAAAAAGCACATAATTCAAAGTAGGATATTGTCTATGGTAACAATGGAGGGCCACATTGATTTGACCATATGATGAGACATTTCCTCCCCATTCTAATAATGCACAGCCACCTTGATCCATGGCACTCACCAGAGTCAACCCATAACTTTTCCACCCAATGCTGGTTAGTGCATTCAGGGATGACTGAGGGATTGAAGAAGGTAAAAAATCTTCGAAATACAAAACCTGGCAAAGATAGCAGGCCAACAAATTAAACAAAACAAATGTCTTATTTAAAAAATTTTGTCTACACAGAACAAATAATGCTAGCTTCAAAAGTACAAACTTCACTTCTAATCTCCTATAAATAGTTTTTTCTCCAATTAAAGAAGTATTATAAGAAAGACGATAAAAGATGCATAATGGAGGATAACAAATCCTGCAAAAATAACCATGAACATAAAAAAATATATAAAATAAATAAAACATAAACAAGCAGGTTCCAGTACAAGATAGCAGTCCCTTTACATAAAAATTGAAGAGCCACCCTGAAAGAGACCATGTGCCTTAACTCAAGAGATTCCAGAAAGAGTCCTTAGACCATACTCCTCCAGCCACCCATAAATCAGAAAAAGAGCCATTCCCGGCCACATTTTCTGCTGCCTGTTCTTACCAAGCCCACTCAGATGACTGAAGTGGAAATGAAAACCTCTAGGAAGGAGGAACCCAATTTGCAAGAAGATATAACAACATGTAACCTGAAGACTACGAAGTACATTGCGATAAAGAAACAGTGACTATAGGATACATTTACTAAATCATTTTGCACAAATATTTGGAGATAACCAATGATTGAGTCCCACTACCTAAAGCAAATCATTAGTGTTAATCCAATTGAAAGCAGCGATCTAAATGAATACCCTAACCTTAGAAAGTTTATACCTCCTAGAAAAAACTAATGAAGGCCAGACTGTGACAAGTGGGTAGTGGTAAAGAAGACTTGAAAGCATGGACACCAAAGAATTCTAAAGTCCAAACTCTACAATCCCATCAGCACAACATTAGAAGGTTCAATAAGATTGAGCAAAATATATCAGATTAACAATTAAAATCTTGCTCCAAACTATTTTCTTCATTTTTTTCAGACGAGAGTAAGTTAAATAAGTTCTTTTGTCCTCGAAATCTACAACCACTTGGTTTGAGACACAAAGTCTAATTTTCATTTCATATGTTAAGATAGATAAACTTATAACAGAACTTTTTATATTTAAAATATATTAACATAATTTGATACCTTAAGGGATGCTATTTTACGAGAATCTCTTTGGAATTTTAGATTTGATATGTATGTTCTACTGAACTCTGTTTAATAAAAACCGTGCAGAAATTGAACTTATGAAATCTGGTTGACCTCAGTTATAGCACTGCATGACCTGCAGCAAGGGTTGGTGGGGAAGTCATTTATTATAATCACTGCTTCCATCGCTAGTCCAGCATTTTTGTGGCCTTCTCTATGGTATGCTGTTCCACTTCCAACCTTCAGATTCTCCCTGCAAGAGGTTGGTTTAGGAAGCTACATTTACTAGAGACTCCAATAGAACAGATAAAGATGTATTAGAAAAAACTCTTTAGAAATAAAAACTGTAAACAAAAATATGTAGGGAAATAGATGCTAAACAGAGATGAAATTCCAAAGTGTCAGTCTAAGATTTTTCATATTTACTTTTGAATATATTACTTTGACTGAGAAACCTCAGTATGTGGCTTTTTAGAATTATATTTTTCAAATTTTCACAAAATTTCAAGATATGTAATAAATTGGAACATCTCTATTCGTACAAATATTTAAGGAAGGATGAAGAAAAACAAAGCACCAAAATCATGGAGAAATCAAATATACAATATCCAGTAGATTAATGAATCCTCATAAATTACATATAGATACCCTTAAAAACATGATCAAAGCATATTCAGCACAATCAAAGCATAAAGAAAGAACAGCCGATTTCCAATGCTTATAGAGTAACTGAAGAGAGTAAATATCAAAACTGCCAACTACTTCAAGTGTTTCAATTGTCAGAAAGTATTGAATTATAATTTTTTTCCCAATGCAAATGTAAAGAAATAATACAGAAAGCCAACTCAGTTCAATTTCTGTACAATCACTGAATAGACTGATAATATCAAAACAACCAACTACTTCGACTGTTTCATTTACCACAGAGTATTGAAATGACAATTTTTTACCTAAACATAAAGAAAACATAATGAAAGACAATCTGGTAAATGCCTATTTAGTGAGTAGAGACTCCAATAATACCAAAACTACCAACTACTTCCAGTTCTTAGTGACAACAAAGTGTTAACGTAATAACTCTTTAACCTAAAATGTAAAGAAAATACTGGGTGACAAAATTAAAACACAGCTGTATATCTCAGAACAGTTGTTGAGTCATAAAAATCTCAACTTAACGTCCTGCCAATTCAATTTTGAGTCTATTTGCAAGTCAGAGAAGAGCATTTACCTACAGGGAAAGCAAGAGTCACATTTTGTATTCACACTATTTCCGTGCTTTAGAACATAGTCTTCAAGGCCAGACTTCAAACATTCAAGATAAGAGGATTGGAAATGTGACACATTGCATTCACTTGCTAGAAAGACAGTTTCATATCGTGATCCAGGAAAATCCCCTCCTTCAACCACTAGATCAGCCGTGACATTCTGAACAAACTAGATGATAATATTAGCCATCATTACATTGTTATATTACGGTTAGACAGACCTGACTCTATACAACATGTACTCACTGAATTAAGTGTTGCTATTAGGGCAATTAGAGTGAAAGCACAAAGCCATAAGAAAGAAAATATTAAACATCGCATTTAGTTTAAATCTATTCTACTTCCATTCAATTCCTATATCTTAATTATTTGATATATAAAATTTACTTATAATTAATATATTTGATCCATAATTGAATCAACTTCAATCACATTTTCCATTCAACAAACATAACTTTGAATTCTCACTTGGAAAGAGAGAAATCACAAATTCACCAAACTTGAATGGATTAACAATTGACAAACTTAAAATGGTAATTTTATTTATATTTTGTTATAGTTATATTGTATTCTTATTAAAAAAAAAAAATTCGTCATTTCAAAAACAAAATAGTCATATTTTATTCTTATTCCTATTCTATAGAATTGATATTTCAATCCTAGTCAACCTAAATTCCATATTACTACTTGTTACTGAGATATAAAAGCAGACAGGAATTTTTGACCTTAAGTTCATTTGAATATTTGAAAAAATAGAAAATTATTCCAGTCCTAAGTTTGTCCTACCTGAAGTTGAATATTCTTGTATAAGTACCTCATGACTAAAGCAATACAATGATAATTAGAGAAAATTCATTCTAAGAATGTTATATGATAACAAAGCAATCCTGGTAAATCTCTAATATGAATTCCTCAACGGAAGGAATAGTCTCCTTCCTCCCTCATTTAAAGTCCATCTCTCCTCTATGGCCTCCAAAAATTGCTACCCCACCTTTGGTATACCTAACATAAAGAATTATGTCAGCGGAACCTTTATTTTCACAAACTTTCTCATTCGGAGATCTCTTTATCTTCCCTTTGTAAAGGCTATGGCATTCTTGATACGTTGATCAATCTAGCATCTGTCCTCCACCATCACAGATGATGTAGGCAACACTCTCCCAAAAACATTGTAGCAAGTTTGCTCGTTCTATCTTGGATTCAAACTACAGTCCCTTCCATCATTCTCCATAGCCTCCTCAAAGCGAACAATAAGCTCATTGCCCGCAAGCATAAAAAGAAACAAAGCAACTTTTCCATGACCAAGCATATCACACTGTCAGGGAACCCTAAGAAAATTGGAAATGTAGCGTACAAGCTCCTGTTACTTGAAGAATCAAGAATTCACCCAATTTTTCATGTGTCCCAATTCAAGAAATACATCCACGGCACACAGGAAATCCAACAAGACTTACTCCCACAGACCACAAAAGACTTCATCAATGTACAACCCCAACAGATCTTACAATATAGAACTATACTATAGGGTAATCAGTTTGTAGATCAAGTCCTTATCCGTTGCGAATGAGCTCTAACCAAAGAATGCACATGGGAAGATTATGAGTATTTACAATATCAATTCCCGCATCTCAACCTTGAGCATAAGGTTAGTGTTTAAGGGGAGGGTGTTGTCAGGGAATTACTTAGGGTTTATTACAGAAAGAAGGGTAAAAAAGGAAAGATGCACACAAAAGGGCAGAACAGGAAAAATGAAGAGCAACTGGAATTAGGGTTGACCAACCCTAACAAGTCTGCTTTCCAAATCCATCCCATAGACGACACCGATCATCTTCATCACGCGATTCTGGCCACGCAACTCCAGCAAGCTTGATTCCACCTTGAATAATGAATTTATTTAATGTATTTAACCCTATAAAAATGGATCATTTCATCGATTGTAAATGCATCAGAAATTAATAAAAAGTCTACTATTTTCTCCCTTGTTCGTTCTTCTTCTTCTCTGTTTTTCTTCTTCTTTTTTTTCCTCAAACTTCACAAGGTCAGAGCCATGTCTAAGGCTTCTGACACACACCTTCTACAACTCAAACCGGGGAGAAGAGTTTTAAAAATATTCCATTAAATTTTTGTCTTTATTGATTCAACAATTTCTTTCCAGTCCTTCCTTTTACCATGATGTAAATGGATGATAAAACTTTGATACTTGCGTGAGAAGAAGAAAGAGATTAATCCATTGGCGAACTTTAAGAAAGATTCCCAAAAATGTCAAACATGCAGAATATAGAGCATTTGGGGGAGTAAAGCTTAACTTACAGGGATCTTTAGAACGAGCATCTGCAAAATTAATCAAGAAACAAAAATGGGAGTTAGGATAAAGAAATCAATAAATTTCATATTGCTTACTTCATAGAAAAATATGGAATGTACAACCAGAAGTGTGAATCGCGGCTATGCAAGTTATAGAAGGCTTGTTTTCTGGATCCATATTAAAATGGAAGAACTAGAGTAATATTTAAAAATACTAAATAATAAAAAATAAAAAAACTCAAGAATTTTTGCTGAATTCTTTGGCTGAAAAGAGATTTTTCTGAAAGACTCAAAAAAAATAGAGCACTTAGAGTAATTAAAGAAAAAAGAGTTCTCTTTTTGACAATCTCATGTTCTCTTCTTAGGGTTCATAATATTTGCTGAGGATGTAGCAGCAATCCGAAAAAGATTAGAGCAATCAGCAAATGGCCTGATGCAAAAAGAGTTTAATCAATATCTACTGTTTTCATGGTCAAGCTAATTTTTGTATATGATTCATAAGGGGTTTTAGTTCAATCATAAATGATTGTTTAAAGGAATTTCAATGGACTTCTTTGGCTATGAAGGCTTTTTAGGAGATCAAGAGGAAGACGATAGGAGCTCTGGTTTTTCAAACACCCAAATTTTAAAAAGTTCTGTAAGTTGCATGTGATGCCTCAAGACTTGGGGCAGGAGAAATGTTAAGTCAAGAAGGAGATTGTGTTATATTCTTTAGTGAGAAACTATGTGAAACTATGTAGTCCTACTCTACTCAAGATAAAGATTTCTATATTGCAGTGCACTCTCTTTGCTATTGGAGATATTACTGTCGATATAATTCATTTTGTAATCAAACCATATCGCTTTGAGATAGTTATCCTCACAAAAGAAGTTAAACCCAGGCATGCTATGTAAGTCAATTTTCTCCCGCATAGTATTAGTGCAATAAGCAAAACATCTTAACTACTTCCACAAATTCTAAAGTGGCATTTATTGCTGGAACCCAAAAAAAAGAAAAGAAAAACCCCTAAACTCATATCTGCCCTTCATCATCACTAGCTGGCCTTTGTAGCCAGAAAACGTCCCTGCTGCACCGGCAAACAGTCTGGTCCAGCACCCTGTTTCAGCCGCATTAACTCTGTTTTGCCTTGATTTCCGCGCTCTATTTAGTCTTTGTTTTTTACCCTGTTTAAGCTGCGCACTCTGTTAAAACAATGCACAGCAGCCACCTCTGTTTCTGCCATGTTTTATGTGCTCTCTTTCCATATACAGCCCTTATTTCTGCTTTGTTTCTGCCTTGCCCTCTTCCTGTGTGCTTTATTTCACGTCCAGCCACTTCCCAGTCCTGCCAGCTGTGCCAGGATGCGCCCTGCATTCACCTGTCTCAGCCACACACAGCCTCTGCACACCTACTTCAGCCGCCCAGAGTCCCTGTGCATCTGCTTTGGCTGTGGCGCCGCCCTGCTTTTGTCATGTGTTCTGCCCTATCTCCATTGCACCAGCCAGCTTTCCATTGCCAGCAGTGCACATATCCGTGTGGTCCAGCCCCTGCCACTAATCTTTTTCCAAGATTTCTTTGCCTCTTTATCACCGCGCCAGTTCTAAAAGGTCATGCTCACATAAGTGAAGATACAAAAGTTTTCCATGTAAAATCTAGGGACAGGCCAACTTGACAAATCAACAAGTGCAAGAAAATGCTCTTGAATACGAAGAGTTTAAAGAGGAAATTGAAAGATTGAGAACTCGCCTATAAATCTCTAGAAAATCTCAAAGGTAGTGGTCTAGTAGCACATTCAGGTAAATTCTCTATTTCATATGGTTTAATTGCCTTAAATAAAACCTTTATATATTCAAAATTATAAACACCAGAGTCACTAATCATATAACAAATTCTTCCCACTAGTTTGGTACATACATTCCTTGTCCCAATAGCAAAAAGATAGCCACTGCAGATGGTTTACTAACCACTATAGCAGGAGTTAGTAATATCAAAATTAATCCTAACTTTAATCTTGAAGAGGTACTTCATGTCCCAGAACTCTGTTATACTCATGTATTAGTGGCTAAATTATCTCATGATTTAAATTGCAAAATGATGTCTTTCCCTTCTTATTGTGACTTTCAGAACTCAAACACAAAGATGATGATTGGACATGCTAAGATAAAGAGTGCATAATATTTCCTGGTGATATATGTGTTACCCCTCTCCTTTCTCTATGATACTACTAACGATAAGATTTGACTCCACTACAAAAGACTTGGACACCTTCCGTTTCTAATAAGGTGATGTTTCTTTTTTTATTTAAGGAATTCAATAGTGAAAATTTACTTCGTAACATTTATGACTTTGTTAATAATAGGCGTACGATATTTTTTATAAATAATAGAAGGAGCACTCTTTCTTTTTCGTTAAGTCATAGTGACTTTTGAGGTCCACTTTACATCCCTAATATTTGTAGGCTTAAATGGTATGTCTTTTTCATTGATAATTGTACAAGAGTAACTTGATTTTTTTTACTTAAATCCAAATCTAATGTCAATCATATATTTCCAAAATTTCATAATATGATTAAAACCCAATTTAATACTTCTATTAAAAATCTTGTACTGATAATGCAAACAAGTTTTTCAATGAAACATTCCCATCTTTTTACTAATAAAGAATTGTCTATGAGTCATCTTGTCTCCTTCACAACAAAATAGAATTACAAGAAAAAAATTATAAAAAAAAAACCAATCACTTACTTGCTACTAGCCGACCCTTCTTATTCCAAAACCATGCGCCTGAACAATATTAAGGGGAAGTAGCTTTTACTACCACCTACCTAATTAGTCGATTACCATCCAGGGTATTGGACTTTAAAAATCCCATGGAAGTCTTCTCCATATTCTATACAGAGCTCAGAGTTAAGACCATTTTGTCCTTATAATATTTGGGTGTGTCATCTTTGTTCACATATATACATTAACAATAGCGACAGAAACTGGACCTGAGAGCTATTAAGTGTGTTTTTCTGGAATACTCTTCAATTTTGAAGGGGTACAAATGATATCATCCACCCACTAAAAAATTTATATATCTTCAAATATTATATTTGTTGAGCCTAGGTCATACTTTAGCAAATCTTATTTTTAGAAAGAGAGTATAACGTAAGATAAGGGCTTGTTCTCTTTTTACTTCACCCTACCCTCTACATCATCAACACTTCTATCTTCAATATCATTATCCTTTACATCATATCAAAGGAATTAACTGGCAATTAATTAGTCAGTAAATTTTATGCAATTAATCAGCAAATATTATGCAATTAATCATCAGATTTGTTACAATTATACCAGCAAATTATATGCAATTAATCAACATATATGACAGTAGATTATATGCAATTAATCAACAGATTTCAAACAATTATGACAGCAAATTATGTAATTAATTAGTCGGCAGATTTTATATCTAATTTTATGACTTATATAGCTTTAATAACTTTAATTAAAACAGATTTGTTTAACTAATTTAGGAGCAGAAAATTAGCTTGTATATTTGTATATATAATGAGAATTCTCCTCCATAGAGGACACAAAAAATTTTCTACTCAAAATTTCTTAAATTGTCATGGTATCAGAACATAGGTTCTAAATTGTTAAGTTTTTTTTCTTATTTCAAGTCTCAATCTTGTTTTTGTTCTTAGTATAGTTCTTTATTCTTATTTGTTCTTGATCAAGTTCTCTCGGCATCATGTCCACAGACAAGTATGAGTCCATTTTGATTCGTTTTAATGGCAAAAATTATTCAGTTTGAGCATTTTACTTTGAAATTTTTGTCAAAGAAAAAGATTTACGGGATCATATTGATGGCAACAAATCGCTCCCTCATTGGATGTATGCCTCAATGCTTTGTTGCGTGAGAAACAACGAATTCTCACTAAAACCAACATGGAACAACAAAGATTTGCTTTTGTCCCTGTGGCTTATGCAGCACAAGGTAAATCAAAAGGTAGAGACTTAAGCACAATTCAGTGTTTTTGTTGTAAAGAATTTGGGCATTATGCTTCAAACTGTTCAAAAAAAATTCTGCAACTGCTGTAAAAAGGACGGCTGCATTATTAAGGAATGTCCTATCCGACCTCCTAAAAAATCTGAAACAACATATACAATATTTGTTGGTTCTTGTAGTACTGTTAATTCTGCGAACATGGCACAAAGTGCTCCTACTACTCCTACTCCACTTGTAACGCCTAAACTGATTCAACAAATGATCATCTTTGTGTTCTCTGTCTTAGTACTATCAGGTAAATCTTTCTCAACATCATCTTCTTAGTACTTTGATTCTGCAGACTCTAATCACATGACCAACAATCCCAATTTTCTTACCAATGTAAAGAAATACTCTGAAAATCTTAAAATTTATACAGTTGATGGAAACTCTTTACCTATCACAGCTACTGGTGACATTTCTCATTCTCTAATAAATGTTTTTATCTCTCCTAATCTTACCAATAATCTTGTTTCTATCGATCGGTTGGTTGATGATAATTATAAAGTGGAATTTTCTAAATCTGGTTATATTGTGCAGGATCAACAATTAGGGAAGACGATTGCAAAAGGACTTAAAAGTAGGACGTTTTTTTCCTCTCTCATTTCCTTTATCTCCATGTTTCTCTCTACCTATTATCATTTGTAATTCTACTCATGTCAATTATCGAGCATGGCATAAACGCCTCGAACATCCAAAATCTAATGTACTCCATACTAAATTCTGCTTTGCTTTGGAATAAAGACTCACCATCTCTTAATGTTGTTCACTTTGATTGCAATTCTTGAAAGCTTGGCAAAAGTAAAATTTTACCATTTTCTACTCATACACCAAATGTAGTTCAGCCTTTTGATTTGATACATAGTGATGTGTGGAGTATGGCACCAGTTATTTCTCATGCTAATACAAGTATTTTGTCACTTTTATTGATGATTATAGTCGTTTCACATTAATCTATTTTCTTCATTCTAGGAACGAAGTATTTCTGTCTCCAAACTTTTCAATGCACATATTCAAACCCAATTTCTGCTAAAATCAAAATCTCACTCTCACAATAGGGTGAGTACATGTCCCATTATTTTTAAGAGTTCCTACAAAGTAATGGAATAATTTCTCAACGATCTTATCCTTCAACCCCACAACAAAATGGGGTGATGGAGAGAAAGACTCATCATCTTTTTTATGTTGTTTGTACCCTTCTACTAGAGTTTTTTGTACCTCTCGGTTTTGGTGCGAAGCTCTCTCCACTGTTGTGCACCTCATCAATAGATTGCCCTCTCCCTCATTGAACCATGTCTCTCCTTTTACTCGGTTATTCGGTCACACTCTAAATTATTCTAAAATTCGTACTTTTTGTTGTGTGTGTTTTGTACATATTCCTGCACATGAACGCACAAAACTTATAACTCAATCAGTTCAATGTGCATTTTTAAGATATTTAGTACACCAGAAAGATTTTATTTATTATGATCCTAATCTGCGTCGTATTCAGATTTCTAAAAAATGTGACATTTTTTGAAAATCAGTATTTTTATCCTACTCATCATGATCATATTTCTCATTCATTTTCTATTTTGCCATAGTTTACTAACTCTTTTGCAGATCCTGTACCTTCTAAACCTCTCTTAGCGTATGAGCAACGCATGCCCAAAACATCATATCAGACTTCTATACCTAACAAGACTCCTTCCAACGGATTTCTTGACGATTGATTTTGTTCCAACAACCACACCTGCTCTTCTTAGACGTAGTACTCATGTTCATAAATCACAAAATAGGTATGGTTTTACCCCTCTTTTTTCCTTAACAGCCATTTTATCATCTATTTCCATTCTCTTCTCATATAAACAGGCAATGGAGTATGAGTGTTGGCGGCAAGTTATTGAAGTAGAATTTCTGGCACTAGAAGAAAACCAAACTTGGGAGGTTTTTTCATGTCCCCCATCTGTGAAACCCCTTGCAAGTAAATTTGTGCTTTCTATAAAACTTTGATCTGATGGATCCGGAGACCGTTACAAGCCTCAATTGGTGGTTCTTGACAACAAGCAAAAGTATGGTTTAGATTATGATGAGACCTTTGCACCAGTAGTCAAGATGACAACCGTGCACACCATACTAACCCTTGTTAGATCTCAATCATGGTCTTTACATCAAATGGATGTTAAGAACGCTTTCTTGCATGGTGATCTAAAAGAAGAAGTTTACACAAAACTTTCGTATGGTATGCCTACTCCCTCACCTAATGTTATTTGTAAACTAAAACGCTCTTTATATGGCTTGAAGCAGGCACCACAAGTATGGTTTGAAAAGTTTAGATCCACTCTTCTTGGTTTTTCATTAACTCAAAATCAATATAACTTTTCACTTTTTCTTCAAAGGACATCTAAGGGCTTAGTTGTACTTATTATTTATATGAATGACATAGTTATCACTAGTTCTGATAAGGAGGAAATCTCTAAAATTCAAAATTTGTTACATTCTTCTTTTCATATGAAAGATCTTGGGCAATTCACCTACTTCTTGGTGTTAGAGGTGCATCATCGATCTCAAGTTATTTTTTTGAATCAACAAAAATATGTTCAGGATCTGGTTAAATTAGCTGATCTCACGAACACTACATATGTTAACACTCCTATAGAACTTAATGTTAAATATCGACGTGATGAAGGGGAACTTCTTGAGGATCCTACTTTATATCGGAAGCTGGTTGGTAGTCTCATCTATTTAACCATTATCCGATCAAACATTTCTCATGTTGTCCACATCGTCAGTAAGTTCATGCAAGCTCCTCGACATCTCCACCTATTAGCAGTCCGTCGAATTATCAAGTATATTCATGACACTACTAGTCGTGGGTTATTCTTTTCTACTGGTTCTTCTCTTCTACTGGTTCTTCTCTTCAACTATAAACCTATAGTGATACTGATTGGGTAAGGTGTCTAGACACTAGAAAATCTATTACTGGATGGTGTATGTTTCTTGGTGATGCCCTTATCGCTTGGAAATGTAAGAAACAAGACTCTGTTGTATGCTCCGAGATCATTTGGTTGCATGGTCTCCTCATAGAGCTTGGTTTCTCACAAGTTCAACCTACTCCACTACACGCTGACAACACTAACGCGATCCAAATTGCCGCCAACCCTGTCTACCACGAAAGTACGAAACACATAGAAATTGATTGTCATGCCATCCGAGAGGCATATAACCGTTATTTCTCTGCCACATATATCCACCACTCTACAGATTGCAGATCTTTTCATTAAATTTATAACACGTTAGTGCCATAACTTTCTTGTTAGCAAATTGATACTTGTCGATTTATCAGCATCAATTTGATGGAGGATGTTAAAGGAATTACCTGACAATTAATTAATCAGCAGATTTTATACAATTAATCAACAAATATTATGCAGTTAATCAACAAATTTGTTACAATTATGACAGCAGATTTTATGCAATTAATCAGCAGATTTTAAACAATTATGCTAGTAAATTATGCGATTAATTAGCCAGCATATTTTATATTAATTTTATGACTTGTATAAATTTAATATCTTCAATTGGTACAGATTTGTTTAGCTAATTTAGGGGCAAAAAATTAGCTTGTATATTTGTATATATAATGAGAATTCTCCTCTATGAAGGACACACAAAAAAATTTATACTCAAAATCTTTTAAATTGTCACATCATAAGCACCTTTACCTTCAACACCACTAGAAACTAGCCATCTTCAATAGAAATAGTTGCATGCAAGAGAGATCACAATTTCGTGTATTTGGTTAAGCAAGTCTTGCCGCCAACTTCCGCCCAAACAAAAATATGAGTGCCAAGCGCGAAAGATTGCTTTGCTAAAGAATAGCTGGCATCTTTGCGCTTTAGTTTGAAATAAGGGGTGAGCTTGAAGAAGCAAAACAAGCCCAGAGTAGCAGCCCCTGACATTTTTCAGGCCCAGAGTAGCGCTTTAGTCAAGTGCTAGTGCCCCTATAGAGTAAAATGAAATAAGAAAGAAAACAAAAAACCCAGTATAGATTGAGACTTGTAACTGAATCTTTACTCATTCCATGCTCTGAAGAATTGCAGGAAATCTTCGATAACACTTCTTCGTATTTCCCAATGATATCAGATACGATCAAGATAATTCCCGTGAAACTCTTTCATTTAGTAAAAGTTCATTCTTATTCTTACAAGACAAATAGCACTTCCTATTGATTTGTATCCTTGCTCTTAGAAATTCCGATGGCTCTTAATACTATGATCGAAGTGAGATGAGAGACAAGGCTCGTGAGAACATTTTTAAGTTATATTCTTGTGAGAATGAGCAAGCTGGACCCTATCCAAGTTTTCGCTCGTACTGTTACTCCTTCTGTAGCTTTGACTTTGAGTTAAAATTCTTCTAATGAGAAAATTTATTTTGTTTAGTATGCACCCTTTTAAAGCCCCAGGCCCTAATGGCCTGAAAGTTGTATTTTTTTTCAAAATTTTTAGTCGAATATGTTTATGATTAAAATGTTTTTTCTATTGGAGCTTTTTATGAAGATTTGAATCAGATAAATCTTTAAGAATGAGTTCTTCGGCATCACCCATTGGTGCACTGAAGACGGTTATTTATATATCTTCCTCTTCTCCTCCTTATGAGTCAAACAGATAAAAGTTGTGAATGAAGATAGATTTTTGGAGGATTCATCAACATTTGCTTGGTGAAAAGAAATTGACCTCCTTCTGACCCGGCCTCTTCTTCATCTTCATCCTGGACATGTTCTTTTCATTTTTGTTTTTAGAAAACCAGTTAAGGTTCTGAAGGCTCCTCGAGTTCCAGTTTTCCAGTTTCTCTTGCTTTTCAGGAAGCTATTCCAGGGGTTGAGAGAGAGTCAAGGTGGGAAAGATCGATTTTTCATTTGGCCCAGAATGCATATAAAATAGCATCAATAGTTCGTTGAATTTTTTGTGCCGGATGATTCCAGGAAATGACCCACTTCCATTACTTCAAAACCCAGAAAATGAACCAGAACCAGTGGTTGTACATGACCCAAGATTCTCTCAGTACATTCAAGAAAGAAGAATTGGATCTTGAACAGAACCAGGTTCATCTTGATCATATGAATATTAGTTGACTTTTCAACATATAAGATTTGTTTCCTGACTTTTCCACATATAAGATTTGTTTCCTAACCTCGGCAACTTTGAGATCCTACTTTGCCTACTAGTGCTTCTATTGGTAAACAGATTCCTGAAGTGCCAAGACTTCCACCACCTCTATTTGATGCAATCAAAGATGTCTTGAAAGATGTCTGTGTTTCCTATGCTGATGATATCACAAGTTCATTATAAATTAAAAAGTTGTCCTAAATCAGATAACTCGTGAATCAGAGAAGATGAGTTTCAGTAGATATTCGAGCTTACTTGATGATTATGTTCAGACTTTCTTGCTGGAGTTGAGTTCTTTTGAAATGGGGGAAAAATAATGTGGGACCATCGACGTTATTTGGGAAAAAGCATTTTCATATATAGGAATTTTCTTTCTAGAGTATGACTGGTATAAACTTACTAGTATAGGATTATTATGTTTTATATTTATTACTTTTTTTGAAAGTGTCTATTTTTTCCTATTTAAAAAACTCTAATTATATTAGACTATGTAGAAAATATATAAATACCTGAGCATTTTGTCATTGTTAAATAGACTATTTATGTATAAATTTTTTTAAATAACTATTTATGTCTATATAAACTACTGATTTTTCTAAATTGAACTGAATGCTCAACAATCTCGTGCTTGTGGTTGTTGTCAATCTCGGATCGGAAATATCTTCCTCATTTTCTCTAATTTTTCCTATTTCTAAACCCTAATCCACTCTAATATATCATTTCCCAACACAATCCAATTGAGTATGTAGAAGTACCTAAAAGCTACTGTAAGAGATGGTAAAAAAAAATCAACAAACCTTTTGAAAGAAGTGCTTGATCTCTCTCAGCAGAATTTCAATGCATTCAGAAACGGAGAAAGATACTTCAGTCCCACTAACAAAAAAAGAGAAAACATTAAGCAACTCAAAATAATCTGAAATTCACTTTTATTAAAACTAAGTTTCAGCAATTAACACCTGAATTTAGAGCCATTCTTAGATATTGAAGGCAGTGTTGTCAGCCTTATTTCTGAAGGATTTCCTCTAATATTCATATTGTAATGGTGAATCTCATAATCACAAATACCTGTGATTCCCACCAAAAAATAAATAAATATGTTAATAGCTGTTTAAAGTAGAAAATTGATAGACATCATACTCATCTTTAGACTGTTGGAAAGAATGATGAGCGAGAAAATGGGTAGGGTTGCATATATTATTGGCTTGATTCAACAACTTCAGCTTGCAAGAAAACAATTAAATCCATTTTTTGTTCAAACTTGGCAAATTAACAAGAAATTAATAAATAGAACTAAATCTTAATTTGCCTGTAAGGTATCTAAATTTCTAATATAAGCAATCTCACAAGTAGAAAAATTTTAAACACATTAATTATAGATCTTCAAAATGCACGTGCCAAATGTTCACATCAAACCGAGAGAAACAACCCTGAGAGATGAAACTTACTAGTAGTTTGGATAGAAAGCAATCCATCTGCATCATAATTCTACAAGTCAAAGAAGGCATCCAACACCATTTCATATAAACTCTGAATAAAATGGTACCTTTGACCCATGAAAATAAGTAAATTTTACTGATTAAACACATGAAACCCAGGCGTGAATAAGCCTTCCAGATTTGAGTACGAAAATTATGAAAATAATTAATATGTAACACAATTTGTAATTAAATATTAGTTATTACTATCCTCTGGCTTATGCACTAACCCCACTTTTCTGCAACGCCAACTTCCTTTGTGCATGTCAGGTCATTGAACTCCTCCAAGCAGATCCCACTACCCGTATCTGAAACTGCAAATTATGTATATTATTGTTCAACAGTTTACGACATTAAAAGAAAATAATGTTACACAATCTTCAGCTCACAAAACAAAATGAGCAGAAAGCTAGGCTCAGTTAATGAATAAAAATGTTATTTAATTTTCATTTCCAAAATCCATATATGTTCCAGTATAAGAATATGCGTGCCAAGTGAAAATGAAAACAATGCTTGAAAAAACCATACTAAAGATGATATGAGTTTGCATTTATTACAAATAAAAAACTATTTTCATATATACTTATAAAATATCATGTACATATGCCATTTTATATTTATATACTATTTCCATAGATACTTAAAAACATAGTAGGTAATTATACTACTGTATATAATAATACATATGAATTTAGATATACGAATTTTGGAAATAAAGACTACCAAGATATATCCGTACATCAAACCGAGCTAACTCTTTTAGTTCCTAAAATAATTCTTTCCAAAAATCACAATCACACTGTTGAAATATTCAGAATTAATATTATAAGCAGATTGCACTAAAACTAGTAAAGAAATCTTTTCATTTCCTTTTCCTTGTTAATGAACAATTATATCCCTGATCGTTTAAAATTCTGTTACAGTTGCTTTTATGATTTGGAAGATAAAAAGCGAAGAGGTCAAACTGCATCATCGTCCTTGGATTCTCCAATTTTTAAAAACAACACTATTTTCATCATATTATTTCTTCCGTGTGAGATACTGCTTCCCCAACCGCAGAGAAGAGAAAATCACAAAAAAAGCTTCACATCTAGAGTACTATCTACTTAAACATGAAGGATAAATCCGTAAAATAACAATATTATTTACTTGATATTCGAATTAGAGAAGGATCGCTTGCAGAAGAACAATTGAGAACAACTGATAGTCTGCATAGATTCTCTGATAAGCGGCATCTTTGAAATGCAGAAGAAATCAACTGCAAATACGAAAATTTAAAGCAGAAAATTAGACAAAGCTAATTTTTAGCGACGAAACAATGGTGAAAAAATTAGGGACACTGGTACGCAACCGACATGTAAACAGAGCCTCTCAATGGAAGAGACCTCCATTGGGGAGACGTACCCGCGAAAATGTCACCTGGAAACAAATTCGAAGGACAGGCTCGCGCGGACAAAATAGAAAATAGGGCAGTCAGATAGGGTTTAATAATTAGTTATTAATTTTTAAATGTTTCATTGATTAATAGAATTTAAAGAGTTTTCTAATATTCAATATTTTTTACACAATTTTTCTGATAGGGTAAATTATATTTACTTAGCTTTTGGGCTTAGAAGTTTTCTCAATTAAAAAAAATATAAAATTAATTTTATGAACTAATTATAAATTTTTAAATTATTGTTAAAACAAAAAAATTTGATGTTAAAAATGATATACAATAAAGTATAAAAATAAAACACAAAAGATTTTTATAAGTTTTCTCTAATTTTGATTTAGATTTTTTTTTTATTTTCTTCAAAATTTTATGTATACTTTTATTTTATTAAATAAGTTTTGCGAAAAAAAAAAGATTATTTATGCTATCAGTAATTTTAATAATTTATTATACTAAATAATCGCATTTATTCAAAACACAGGGATTAGCTTATAATTTTTAATTAATATACTTAGTCATAACTAAATTTATTCTCAATTGTAATTCTTCAATTTTTCTTTGATTAACATACCTAGTTATAATTAAGTGCAAAACTTTGAGAATTTTTTTTAATTAGGTTATTTTAATTTATTTTATTAATTTAATATATCATTTTAATTAACTTTAAACCAACAATTGGTTACGTTTTTTATTTTCTTCAATTTTTAGAATATATTTAATTTTGCTCAAAGCCTTTTTACAAATATACGTTTATTTAATTAAAAATTGTGAAAACAACACCTAAAAAATAATCAAAGTTTATATAGAACTTGATCTAAAATTGGAAAATTACATTTTAGATTATATAAAACTAGAGCAATGAATTCCAAATTTGATCTATTTTGATGAATTTTAGAATGAACTATTTAAATTACAGATAAAAATTTAAATAAACTAAAAACTTATTATCGATTTGCAATTTTGCTCATTACAAATAAATTTTACACAAATTTTCAAATTGCTTCGAACGTTGCTCGAGGGGCTGTTTGGTTTACTCTGCTTTTTTCGTTAACTTTCTAAACTCATAAATCCCATTAGCTCTCTAAAAGACGTGCAAAAAATGTGCCTACGTAATATGTTTTATTTCAATTACATATTTTCACAATAATAATGAGTGTGGTAAAGTAATACTTAATTAAAATTTTAAACACATGAATAAAAATAGTAGTCATAATTAAAAGAAATATGAATTTTCAAGTAAATTACACAAATAAACACCATTTACTCCCAAGCCAAAAACAAAAATAATTTGTAAATGTCCAAAATCTTAAAAGAAATTAATATTTATAAGGATAGCGGAAGCAAATAATAATTAGCATTTACATTCCTTACACAGTAATTTGAGATGCTCAATAAGTTTACAGAAATGTCCCTAAAAATAATTAAAATAACAAAAACAAAAATGAAGTTAAAATCCTATTGGGTTAACCTCTACTGGCAACTTTGATGGAGTCCAAGAGGTAATATAGCGCCCGGAAAATGGAAGAAGAGAGAGAGAAAAAAAAAAAAAAAAAACGTGTGCGCCACGTCAGCAGACCCAGTCAGTAGTCCTGGCCAACCAGGACCTGCCACGTGGCAAAAGCACGTCGATCGGGGACGGGTCACGTTGGCGATCCGCGTGCGCGCGATCGGACGGCCCAGATCAATCGCGCGCACGGACGGCCCAGATTAAATCAAAATGGACGACTGAGATCAAAAGTCAAAAGGGTATAAATAAGACCCCCACACCAGACCCCAAACCCTAGCCGCCTGCCCTCGCCGGAGAAGACGAACCAGAAGCCGGCCGCCGCCACCCGCCGCCGCACCGGAGGGATTTCCGACCGCCGATCGAGGTAAATTTCATACCCCCGACTCGTTTTTCCACGCTAATTTCCCCAGTGGCCAAATCGGAGCCAAAATTCCGGCCAAAAGGCCGAAAAACACGACCGAAAGCCAGCGGCGCCGCCGCGCCCCTTCTCGGTTTTTGCCTCCGATGAGGCCCTTCCCGGCCTCCGTTTAATGCAATTTTTATATCACCGTGATCACCATTCTTTTCTCTGCAGGTTTATCGAAGCCGAATCACCAAAACACGAACTTCACCGGAGAGCCACCGCATCCGAGAGCACCGCCGCCGGTAAGCTTCGGTTTTCCGTAAATTTTCGGCCCCCCGAGGGCCGTATGGTTGTTTTATCGCAGGAACCAATGCGAGTGTGACCGAATTCTGCCGGAAACGGCCGAAAACGGCCAACTCGAGGTGAACCGCCGCAGTGCCGGAGTTGCGATATTGGCCGAAAGGGGCCCTGGGCCTAATTTGGGATTTTTGGAACACGTGCAGGTACCAGTAGTGCGTTTCAGTTCCTCGGAAAAAAATTCAGGAAAAATTAGGGACAGCCTGCAAGCGCACTGTGAAGCCGTGTTGGGACCCCGAAACGAGTAAGGACCCCTCACCCTATTTCCTATCACGGTTTTAAAGTTCAATAAATGATAAAACGGTATTTCATGAATCAACGAATGTGTGAAATTGCTTAAGGTCGCTAATGGAGCCCGAGTCTAGTGTGTTTGTCGGTTAACTGTTATTTGGCCTGTTTTATAGTTTTAAATGCAGCATGAGATTGGATGTTTTCATTTTATAGTTTCGTGTGCATATTTTTACTGTTTATCGATTATGGATTGAATGACTGAGATATTGATACTGTATGTTGTCTGTTTGACATAAATTATCGTTTTGCTTGTTTGTATGTGGATTGATAATGCTGACTAAGGGAAAGAGAGAATGAAATATTATGTAAATGAGTAATTGTATAATGTGGTCAGCCTGACTAGATATCCTAGGAGATGGTGGACGGACCGGGTCCGTAGGAAAACCTACCGGGATTGTGGTCTCCCATACCGGACGGGGTATGGAGATCTTATGTGTTTTGGCACCCATACCGGACGGGGTATGGGGACGGCCCGTTTCACCCTCATACCGGACGGGGTAATGAGGTTTATAGTTTTGGCGCCCATACCGGACGAGGTATGGGGACGGCCCTGGAATATGATTTCAAGTGTTAAGGGTTAACGGGTAGCGGGACCCCTATGGATCCCCATGGATACTAGTGGGCTGGTAAAAGAGGAAAAATATGTTGTGTAACGATTGTATTACGAAAGGCTTGATAGGTATTACGTTATACAGTTTATAGATATGATTTCATGATGATGATGATGTTATTGTTTTCGTATATTGACTTATGAATTTCACCGAGGTAAGTGAATGGTAAAGGTTTTATTATTGATAAAAGGTTTTGTTGTAAATTATGCTCCATTGTCTTTTGTGTTTCTACCCACCTTTACCTCCGTGACGGTGAGATATCGTGATGTCTTTACTGGGCTAGTGTAGCTCATTCATTATTTAATCATTTCAGATCAGGAAGATCTTGTTCCCGAGCCAGTTCCGCAGGAGGACGACGAAGGGGACGCCTAAAGACTCCATAGTCATATTTGTAGCTTTTACTTTCAAGTTTTTCCTTTAGATAGTTTGATCTTTTATATTTTGTGAGCATGTTTTTAGTTTTAGTGTAAGGGATGTTATTCAAATTTTGACTTCGCTTCCGCATTTGATATTTTTAATATACATTTCATTATGAATTTCCGGGGTTGCTACAGTAACATTTACTCGCAACTCTCATGTTGTTCAAGATTTAAATCTTATTCTTATTGATCTGAAATGATTAAATAGGGGGATGCGTTACACTAACCCAATAAGAATATAACACTAATCACTAACACGAAAAACTGAAGGTTAGTAAAAATTATAAGACAACTAATAGAATCATTTAGTTTCTTAAATAAATTTATTTAACATAAACCATTTATTTTATATTTACTGTTACGAGTTTCCAAAATCGGCCTATAAGAACAATAACTTAAATAACATTATGATTTCATATACAAGTAAATCATAACAGCAACTTTCTTTTTTACTTGCGTATTGGTACCTCTAAGAGTCCATAAGGATGTTCCCCCTACGTGTAAACCCAATATCTAAATTTGTTAATCAACCAGCCTTCTCCATACTTCGTCCGATAATAGGCATCAAACATATTATCGTCTCGATACTCCATCCTATATGAGGGTGAACCATATCTCTCAAACCCTTTCGGTATGAAACTTCTTAACCCCGTCTTACTGAAATAACATTCACGGTAGGATTTTTTCTATGTACTAGGTTCGTACACTCTTTTCTAGGATACCCAGTAAGCTTTCATATATAGATTCACATTATCAACTAATTATCAATTACATATCAATATCTCATATTTATCAATCAACAATAAGTTATGAAAAGAAACAGTACGTAAGTTAAGACAACATAATTGAGACACTTATTGCAAACAAACTAATAATTGGGGTTATGCAGTTAGATAAACTAAATAGCCGAGAAGATAACAAAAACTAGCAATTTAACGCACACAACATAATAATAAGCATTCTAGACAATATAAGAGAAAATTAACAGTAAACTAGAACGAATATATACTGATTGGTTCTGCCTCCATTAGTGATTTGTAATTAATTTTAGAGTTTTCTAATTTTTACAAAATACAGCATTATTGATTATTAAGCCTCAATTACCATAATATAAAAAAAGGTGAGAGATTCTTACCCCGGATTGGTGTTCAAAATATTGTACTTTCTACTGCGACTCCTAGCAGTCTCCCGGTTTTTTGAATTTTTTCTGTAAAAATTAAAACACCCGTCACATATCCAAAAATACCCCAAAAAGCTAAAATAGGCATTGAAAAATTTTTTCGGCCAATTTCAGGGTTCTGGCACGGCACTGCCGCTATGCTCTGCTGCCCGTGGTAGTGGTTCACCTTGACCTAACCGGTTTTGGCTGATTTAGGCCAGTTTTACACGTAAACTTGCGAAAAAATGAGTTAGGAGGCTTCGGTTGACCGAAAAAGGCAAAAAAAGAAACCCTAACGACGGAAGGTCTTCGGGTGCAGCGGCTCCGCAAGTCTCCTTCGTGGTTGGAGTTCTCATTCGGCTAACCTGTACTAGAAAAAGACGGTGAACATAGTGGTCAAAAAATCACGCAAAACGAAAAATAGAAAGGGGATCATCGAAGAAGGTTTTGAATTTTGGCCGCGATGGCTCAGCCAAACTTTGCCCGCGGTTTTTGGCTCACCCACTGATCCTTTTGCTCCGATATAGCCATAGGGAGACTCGGGATTGAATTTTGAGCAGGAAGAGAAAAATTTTACCTTTTTAGGCGGTCAGCGGTGATTCCAGTGTGGCAGAGGTGGTGTCTCTCCAGCAGCTGGTCTTTCCTCTGGCCGCCTTCTTCTTCTTCTTCGTCGGTTGAGTGTCGGCTAGGGTTTTGATTCCCTGCGAAAATGAGATTAAATACTCCTCTCCATCTAATTTAAGACGCTCGTTCAAGTCGATATAGAGGGAGGAGGACTGTTCGATGATTTTCTGTTTAGGTCGATGACGTTGATAAATCTAGGTCGTTCATCGCGATCAATCTGGTCCGTTTGATATCGTCTAAAGATGGAATGCATCTAGATCATTCGTGTGTGCAGCATGCAATCTGGACTGTCAGATTGACCAGGCATGCGGATCACCCACGTGGCCTCTCGCGTGGAGCCGATGTCAACATGTTCGCCACACGACTTGTCTTAATTCACTGCGGCTGCTGACCGAGCTGTTCCACATGACTAATTTTTTTTTTTTTTGCAATTTCACCTCATGTTTTCAAATTTTTTTCAAAAACACCATTTGTTTTCACACTTTCACACATTTTCTTCAAAATTATTTTCAATTTCGTTTTTAATTTATTTTTTTTCAAAAATTTAAAAAATTTTTATTAAAATAAATTTTAATTATATATATATATATATATATATTCTATAAGTTGAAAAAAATTATCTCGAATTAAATTTCAGCCTCGGGTGTTACACAACTAATGAAGCATATTAAAAAGATTTTCATTCAAATAGAATTGTCATTGCAATTCAATGCAAAAGAGAACTTGAATCAAGAACTATAATCAAATGAGGGATACAAATTGGAGTAATAAAATTGAAACTTAGATGAATAGTACAGAGAATTTTTCCTATTTTTTCTGTCACATGGTAAGAGTTGAAGAACGTTTCCTCCTTATGCCAGAGGACCTAATTTAGAAATGGTTTGCCCTCTTTCAAGCCTTGTCGAAACCTTGAACATGACAAAGCTAAGTACTTGTTGGTTTCAACAGCTTGAGCTTAAATACAGGGAATGCAGCAACTAGAAAGCTTTTTCCAGATCTTTCCAGAAGGAAAACAAAAGAGAGAGATTGTTTTTGGTTAAACAATCTCTCCCTTTCTTTTCTGTTATTGTAGATATATTACAGAAGAGTTGTTACATAGTCATGAATCATTCAGAATACATCTTTTACTAACTTCCTTTGCTTTCTCCTCGGGCCTTCAGCATTAATCTTTTACTAACTTCCTTTGCTTTCTCCTCGGGTCTTCAGCATTAATCTCTTACTAACTTCCTTTGCTTTCTCCTCCGCAAGGCCCACCTTTCTTTGATATCGCGTATTTGATCAATCTGTTGCTCCATAGGAATTTCCTGAAAATCTTTAACCTCTTGATTTGATTTTTTGCCCTCAAAGCCTCCCCTGATTCTGGCAGCCTCGGCAAGTAGATCATTTATGAGCATCTCAGTGGTCTTGGTAGTAATTCCTCGTAGATACCAGGAAATGGGTGGGGGTGGAACAATGGCAGGTTGGATCAGTTGGTCCAAGGTCACCCTTGACCCTATCCTTCCCTTGCCTTCCGCACATGAATAATAATCTGCCAATGTTTTTGGTTTGAAAGGGAAGCATACTTTCTCATCAACAAATATGGGTTCAACTCGCCAATGGCCTTCAAATTTTTTCATGAATCCAGTTTTCAATTGTTTGAACTTCATCTGCCAAAAAATTGCCATAAAAAATCGGAGAAGCAATTCCAAATGAAATGATTTTCTTAATTTAAAAAGCATAAGGTGCGGGATATTGATCTAGCTGACAGGAAGATGAGATCTGATGAGAGATTTCATGGTATTGAAGGAGGGAATCTCTAATTCTACAGTCTGGGTAACTAATAATACAAGGATATGATGCACTTCTAGCCAACCTATTTTACTTTAAGCAACTTCCAGAAAATATGAATCAGTAAATAAACAAATAGCTGCAATCTCAGGAAAGATTTTTATTTTTTCCTTTTTTCTTAATCCTTTTGTATTTGCAAACCAGGCTAATCTCCAATTCAACAACAGCATATGTTTCACTAATTGTAAGCATCTAAGGAACCTTATTGATATTGTGCATTCTGATCTTTTATAAACTTTCTACTTGGGTGGCACTCTCTTGGTGCCTGTTAATACTACCTTCTTTTCTGTTCGCCCTCAAAGTAAACAAGTTTCAACTGCAATAATTTTCCATATGTGTGAAGTGCCAACGACAGAATATTTAAGGAAATGAAAGAATAGATACTTACTGAGTGATCTTTTCTATTCTGATCCACTATAACATGGACTGAGATAGTTCCTGACCACCAGAGAAATTTCCACAGTGCTGCTTGCTCCACCTCTACCACCTGCCTTGAACCTTCATCGAGCAAGACCTTTCGGGATATAACTTCCTGGATTGAACAATTATTTTATCACTTCATAATTACACCTTGAACTGGGAAAAGATAGTCGGCGAAAAACATATAACTTACCTTAATATTCTTGAAGACTCTCTTATTATCAGGGTCAGTGACAATATTATATACTGCATCTGGGGGCAATCCAACATTTACTTCAACATTGAGATTGCAAAGAGAACCTTTTGGTACACTTACCTGCCAAAATAATTTTTATATAGTACATATATGGATTTCAGGCTTACATCAAAATAAGTCATTCATTTTGAGATAACATATCTATATTGAAACTACTCAACTTTCTGACCTAGACAGACTACACTAGCTATCCAAACCAGTCAGAATTCAGGCAAATTCAGACTGTATTATCGCAATATCAGATCTCATTTTACATGAAAACACTCATCAGGAAGAAAGGTACTGGCACTGGACCGATATGCCTTAAATACATTTTTAACAATAAAAGACAATGCCAGATCTTGACGGGTTTAAGGGACCATCAAGAAGTTTCTTCCTATTACTGAGATAAGAACTAGAGGCAGGATATGACCACATTGCTCCTGCTACTCAGGAGATCATGTAAGGAATTAACATAACTTTCTTTATTAATTTTCCCATACATTTACATGTGGGATGTTGATCAATCCATGAAGGGTTTCTCTCCAAGGTGGTAATTGCTTTTCAAGATCAATCTCCACATGAGTAGACGATCCTTTCCCCTTCATCACGGGAGAGCTAATGGAGGTTATTCTTTCATGATGGTTGTTAAATTCTTGATCTGTGACTGCAAGAAGAACGGAGACTTCTTTTAATCTTTTAAATGTAGAGTAACTCGAGCACCTACAAAGCTTTTGGCTAAAAATTAATGGCATCCAAACACACAACCGCACATGAAAACAATGGACTAACCTTAAGACAATTTTGAAGCTTGTCTTGGAGCCGAGCAAAAAGTGTAGAAAAAGCAGGATCAAACACCTTTGGGATTCCATCTCTCTTGCTACTTTCAACCTCTGTATTCATTTTGACAACTTATGTTTCACACCAAATCCTGAATATCTCAAAGCCATTTTATGGTCAAAGATTTGTTAGCTTCCATAGTTCTTGGTGCAAAAACGAATGTCGATATTTTGCTAGTCAATATCCAACCAAAATCTCATATTTAAAGGTGAGCAGACATATCATTAATCATATACAGTAGAAAATGTGTCATTAAGACATGCATTAACTAGTGCACTAACCAAGCAATGACAAGACTATAGCCTTATACTCATCTAGGACTTCACCTGTTTCTATTCTAGAATAAACAAACAAATTACCTTAGAAACAAGTGCATGAAACTGTAACAAAGTCAAAAGACTCAAAACAATTTTCAACCAAACTTGAAGAAATTAAGCAACCGACCTATCCTAAAGAAAACTAAGCAACACGTTCCCAAAATTCCGAAGTACAGTAAGTAAAGTCGTAATATGTAACAATTCATCGTCAAATTATCAGCACTAAGAACAAACCCAAAGTTTGCAGCAAAATGAATAAACCTCCTTTGACATTAATCCATTATAAGCGTATCTCAATAAACTCCAAACCCAGATAACAGAGATAAGCAACAAAACATAATCCATGAGCTATTAAAACTAGAAAGAGTGAAAGGAAAACGATATACAATAAGAATAAACACGAGTAACGATCACTAGAACTTCGAATCTGATAGAGCGGATTCAATTGGAGAAAAAAATGTGAGAGAAGAATATTCATTTAACCTTTTTAGAATTTCTTAAAAGCTGAAACCAAATCTCTAGCTGTAAATGGGATTTTGACGATCCATCTCGGTTCGAGGCCTTTCTACTTTTCTTCTGGGTCTGAAAAGTAACCATGTGAATTGTGAAAAAACTCAGAAGTTAGGAGGAGGCCACAGGTACAACTTCGATACTGCGGAAAAAAGAAGAAAAAAGAAAAGACTTTTGGAACTAGAAATCATTTCTTGACTATCCTTCCGGAGCTTTCCAATTGTTGAGGATAACCAATCTAAGGGGGATCGGCAGGTGTTAAAACCTAGATCCTGTGGGCTACACTGTTATAACCCGCAGGGAATAATTTCTCCTTTTAAAGTCTACGTGGCAGTGTGAGGTTTGTCACGTGCAATTTTATGAGCTCCACTTCTTACAACTAGCTAGGCACTAACTGGAATATTTAATTAATAAAAAGATTAATGTTCACATGCTTTAAAATTATTATTTATGAAGGCTACTCAATATGTTGAGTTCATATTTTATTATTTTAAAATTTTGTAATTAAAACGTTATTATTTACAAATTCGATAGGATAAAATAATTACTATTTATAATATTTTTTAAAAAATTGGGTATTGATTCGTCGCAGTTAATCTATAAATAAGACTACAAGAGTTTTATAATAATTGATCTAAATCAATTATTTTTAATTAATTAAAAATTAATTTCAAACAAAAACATTAGCTGCAGCAGTCAGACAAAGTAAAAGAATTGTGCATATGTAAACTTTTAGTTAATTGAGGATAATTTTGAAACAAAAATATTGACAGCCGAAGCAATTTTTTTAAAACTAGTATAGTTAATTTATGTGTTTAGATTCATCAAAAGTAAATTTTGATTTTGACTTTGACAAAAGTGATTTTTCTAAACGGTAAAAGTTCCAGTAAAAAATTGTTGCCAAACATGTATTAAATAAACACATATTTATAAATAAATTACATAAACAAAATTTATTCCTTTCAAATATAATCTAACAATAATTACAATCGTGAAAATTTTAAGTGTTTGAGATTAAATCTTAAAAAGAATCTAAGATAAAAATAAAAAAACTGAAAGAAACGGGCAGGTGGACCGCCCAGATCAAAACCCTAAAATGAAGGGTCTAGATCTTTCTTTTCTGTTTAAAATGTTGAGGACTGCTGGTGGTCTCTAAAGATTCTAGAGACCATCCTCATCATCTTTTCATTTATTCCCCTGTATATATATATATTCCTAAGGTACCATTCAATAAATATACATCAGAAAATTAATGAGCTTTAAATGCTCTCTATTTTACCCAGTTGAGCTTTTTACATGGTATGAGAACAATGCCTGTAATAAGCACTGATTCTCCTAATTTCTACCTTACCATATTACCATACTGCTCAATGGCAAACCCTAATACAGACGTGTTGACACTTGATGGCTCCAACTACTTGTCTTAGAGCCGAGCCATGGTGATTGCATTGAGAGCCAATGACAACCTCGCCCTCGTCGATGGCAGATGCAAGAAGCCCGAACCCGATGCAGTAGGATATGAAGAATGACACAAAACAAACAGCATGGTGGTGTCTTGGATTCTGAACTCGATGAATAAAGAGCTCGCTAGCGCCTTCCTATTCACCACATCAGCAAAAAACTTGTGGGATGAAATAAAAGAAAGGTATGGTGAAAGTAACGGACCTATGTTATATCAACTAAAATGCAAAATAAGTTCTATCACGCAATATAACCTTTCTGTCATAGCCTATTATATAAAACTCAAAAGGCTAAGGGATGAATTAACACACCTAAGGCCTTTACCTACTTGCACCTGCCATGCTGCAACACAACATAGTGAAATAGACAATACCGACAACTTGATCTAATTTCTAATGGGTCTTAATGACTCATACGACCATGTTAGAAACCAAATATTGATCATGGATCCCTTACCCGGTGTGAATAGAGCTTATTCCATGGTGATTAGTGTTGAAAAATAAAAAGAAGTACATAATAACAACTCACCTAAAGGGACACCTACTGCATTTTACACCAACCTGAAAGACAATCTAAAATTCTCAAACCGAAAAAAAGAAAAGGACAGTAGGATATGCACTTATTGCAAAAACTCAGGGCACACGAAGGACACATGCTTCAAGCTCCATGGCTACCTAGAATGGTTTACAAAACTCAAAGGGAAAAGGAATAAAGAAAAGGCCAATGCAGTGGCAAACAATGCCCCTGATAGCACCAAAACAGAAGCATTCAACACAAACTAGGGCACAAAAATAGCCACACTCATACAACAAGAGATCAGCAAATACATGAAAAACTAAGGAACAAACACAGCATAATCGACAGGGTGCGTGGGCTACTCTGCCCCCCCTGGTAAGTAACTTAAATGTTGTTTTTTACATGTCTTTAATGATATAGGAACTTGAATAATAGACACAGGTGTCATATCACACATATGCCATGATTTCAAAATGCTTTCAAAACCCATAAAACTAGAACCTGCAGTTCTTGTCTCGCTACTAGACGGAACCATGAGTCATTCAACCCACAAAAGAACCATAAAGCTGTGTGACAATTTAATTCTACATGATGTCCTCTATATACCAAAATTCACTTGTAACCTTATTTCTGTCAGAAAACTAACCCAAGCTTCAAATACCTACATTTCCTTTTATCCCAACCATTATTTTGTACAGGATTTGACAACTAACAAAATATTGAGGAAGGGAACAATAATGAAGGGCCTGTACACCATGAATGAAGACATTGACCCTATCAAAGCATGCATTAGCCACACCCAAGAAAATAACCTACAACTATGGCACAAAAGACTCGACCACACATCCACACAAAAATTGATCCACATTCCCAATCTAAAGTTACCAGTGCAGCTCTACATGATTGTGAAATATGCCCATTGGTAAAACAGTAACACTTGTCTTTTTCTAAAAATTTTATCAATACCAGTGGCATTTTTAGTTTAATATATGTTGACCTTTGGGACCATACCTAGTTAATTGTATCTCTGGTGCACTTTATTTTTTAACTATAGTTGATGATTTCTCAAGAACCGCTTAAACTTATTTATTAAAAGAGAAAATGAGTATACAAAATACCTTGAAATATTTTTACAATCTAACACAAAACCAATTTCAGAAAATAATCAAAACAGTTATGACAGACAATGGCACTGAGTTCATAAACACTTTATGTAAAAAAAATTTCAAGAAAAAGAATCATGCATAAAAAATCCTGTACATACACACCATAGTAAAATGATGTGGTGGAGAGGAAACATAAACACCTATTACAAATTAATAGGGCATTGATGTTTGAATTAAAATTACCAAAAAGTTTTTAGGATGAAGTCGTACTCACAGCCACACACATAATAAACGTTTTGTCAAGCTCTATTTTAAAATGAAAAACTCCTTATGAAGTTCTGTACAAAAAGCAGCCAGATTACTCAAAGCTAAAAGTCTTCAGTTATCTATGTTTTACTACAAATGTTAATCCTCAAAAAGACAAGTTTGAACCTAGGGCTTTAAAATGTGTTTTCTTAGGGTATGCACCTGATGCAAATGCCTACAAATTATATGATATAACAAACAAAAAAACGATTTTGTCAAGGGATGTCATATTTCATGAACATATTTTTCCATACCAAACAAAATACCCTAAACCAGATTACTATGACACACCACTGCCAATAGCAAACAACGACACAGTAACCACACCTAAAAACCAGTTACAAAGAAGAGAAGAAATTCCCTTACCAAACATCATTCCCCAAGAGTCTGAAGTAAGGAG